ATTACAAAGACAATGGTATGTTTAGAGAGAACAAAGAGGTGGTATTTCAGAAACATCTTTCTAGGGAGTTACTTTTATGGCCCATCTCAGACTGCCTTTGCTTTCCAAAGACTCTGCCCACCCCAGTAGCTTTCTCCCAGCCTTAACAACATTCCTGGGCCTTCTAAGTGTTTTATGATTTCCTGAGACGGTGTATTGTTTATGTAGTTCCCTGAGAAGGAGGTAATTAGAGGAGGATGTTTTTGATTTGTTTCACTTGTCATAACTGGCACCATATCATTCATCCATCCATCCATCCATCCATCCATCCATCCATCCATCCATCCATCCATCCATCCATCCACCTACCTACCTACCTACCATAGTTGTACGTGTACAGAATGGCTTTTCCACAAATGTGTTTAACAAATTCCAGATGATAAAATATCTGGATTAAGGAAGGCAAGTTGGAACTGCATCAAAATATTCCAATGTAAAGTCCTTCTGTTCATGACATTCCACTCCATATTCCAGGGTTGTTGTTGTTTTTTTTTAGCCATACTAAGTATTTTCTTTGGGTGGATCTGCTGTCAAGTCCAAAACAGAAGGCATTATTAACATCATTATAGTTAGAAAAAGAGGGCAGAAAAAAACTGGTTAATTTGTGATGCTGTATTAGAGTCGCAAATGTTTAATTTTATGTACAGCACTACCCATTTTGGGTAGAGGAACTATTGATACAATTAAATCGTTTGGTTTAAGCCTGGTTTGCTTATTGTGCTAAGTTGTGATGTGTGTACTATAGGCTTTCAATACAATTTCCAGTTACTTCCCACTGCAAAATGGCATTTTTAGCCATTGTTTTAAAAGCAGTTATGATCGGAGGGGTTCTGGAAACTGGGAAAAAAAAAAAAGAGTCCTGAGAGCCACAGGTTGTTTTCCTGTCATCTAAGCCCTTATTTGGCTTCGATCTGCCACGCTGTGGGAGCCCAACCACTGTGACCTGTTCCATACATCTTGGTTAAATAATGGCTTGTGGTTTGTGTGAATTCATCCTTACAGGACATCTTGTTAGCTACATAGCCGTCTGGGATTTGACAAGCAGAGCGCGTGGATGGAATTAATTTTGGAGCAGACAGCTGGACATCTTTGATCAAAGTCATATTTGAAGTTAGAAAATATGTGCACAAAATATTTGTGAAGAGGGGAAAAAACACACAACAAAAATGTGAAGGATTGTGAACAGCTGGGAACCGTGTCTGCCTTTGCAGCGCTGTACCCTTTGAGCCCCAAATTTGCTTCAGCAAAAGGTGGCCACCCGCTTACTGCAGGGTGGGCTCCATTTGGTTGGCCAACACCTCCCATCATCCCCAGCCAGCAGGCCAATGCCAAAGCAGCTGGGGGTGATAGGAGCTGTAGTCCAACAGCTTTGGACCGGCCACGAATGCTGCAGGGAGCCACATCTGGCCCAGAGAGGCATGTTTAGTAAGAGAGAGGAACCACATGGTGGGGTGGTTAGAATGATGAATTAAGCCTGGGGAATCCGGGGTTCATTGAACGATGAAGTTCACTGGGTGATTTGGGGTCACTCACTCTCTCACTGACTAATCTACCTTGCCAGGTTGTTCTGGGGATAATTAATGTCGGTATCGTTCTCTCTCAGCCAATAGTCTGCCCCTTTAAGGGGGCTCTTGATCAGTGAACCCATCTATTGAAAGAGGAGTTTACTGGCC